TGAATAAGGGGTTAGAAACAGTGAAGGATAGAGCGATGAAGCGTGATCAGTGGCCAACATTTTGCCATTTTTTACTAAATAAAGCCGTTTGAGAACGCATGCGTGTCCACACTGTCTGATTGGTGTAATAAGCAAACAGGTCTTTATTTATGGCTCCTCTAAGTGCATAAAATCACAACCCCCGTGTCCACAGAATTGATCGTGAACGAACGTCAACAGTTAGCAACGTAGTGTGTCCATTGAGATACGCTTATGTGCATCTCGCTAGACGAACCTGATGATGATAATGAGGCTGGCAAGTTGTCCTTATTTCCGCGACATCATAAATATTTTTGGGTCTGTTACATTTTGATGCCATTAGGATTAGTTAACCAAAAGCGCTAATGGAGACTTGTTTAACTAAGACAAATACGATGCAAAGCCATATACCGATATAAATCATGTCCAAGGTCCCGGATTGACTATTCAAAAAATTACCATACAAGCGGAGAGGATTCAGTCCGATCCGAAAATACACAAAACAAAACAAATTTTACCGATATGGGATTGATTGGTTCTTCAATGGTCAATTCCAAAAGTGCAAGCAGTCCGGCAGAGGGCAAGCTCTGATGATGATAAACTGTGTCCGTCGCGGTCGCAGGTTTGAATCGCATCGCCACTGATCGAATTTCGCCCCAGTGGTTCAACCCTCACCGCGTCAATGTTTCAGTAATATTTTAAAATTGTAGTTTAAAAGATAGGAACTAATACAAAGTTTATCTATTCCGATGGCATCATGTACCTCGTAATGGTTTCAGATGCCAAATATCAATTTATCGGTCAACGCGAGCGGATTTACCGAATCCGCGATACGCAATGTTCACTCCGAAATGGACGGGACCAGGCTCCTGTTCTGTCTTCTGTGTCTCTGATGGGTTGTTTTACCGACAATGAAATAGACTTCACATTTTGCGTTTCATAGTCAAGCCTTAGATTGTCAAGAGTTGTGATGAGCCATTTCAGGATTAGATGGAAGTGGAACTGAGGATTATAAATACGCGCACAATCAACAAAGGTGACTGAATCTGTTTTACAATTTACTTCGAAGGCCTAAACTGATGAGCAGATTTTTACATTGTAGGACAAATCATTTTATGGTAACAAGCTAACGACGTCTTGAATCAGTTCACAGAATCATGGTTATCTTTCTGGTTCCAATGGCTGACGGAAACTGTAAACCTGTTTGTTTTAAGGAATGCGCGATTCGGAAACAGTTCTTTCTATCACACATTCGCAAAGCAAAACAACAAAGGATTGAATTGCATAGTGTATCTAACACAACTTCGTTACTTCTTGGAAAAGCCTAGCATGGTCACAAACCTTGTTCACATTGTCAGGTGAGAAATGAACTCCGAGAAAGGGGAATGTGAACAGAGACGTTTCTAAGGAAAGCACGGCGACGATATCTTTTATAATTCGCTTGTTTCAGTTGTGATGGCTTCTCACCGGTAGTGGATTACAATTGCATGAAGTCTGGTTGATGTCAACAATTTTCAGTATTACCTCATCAACCATGTTTTCTGGGTGATAGATAAAATTCCGTACATTTTGTTAGAAGTACTCTCGCCTCGCGTAATATGAAAACGCAACTGGATTCAGGAACATTCCTTCAAAACAACAACTACCCACAAGGACTAGTAACCGATGTGTTAAGAAACAAGTCAGCAACACAGGACAAGAAGGACATAGACTGGCTAACCTCCGTTGGTATCCCGTGGAGATCGGGCACATCTGAGGCAATCAGGAAAGTGCTTGGTGCGTATGGTGTTCGCGTTTTCCTCCGAATAGATAACACGTTGCGACGTCATCTCACAGGAACCAATAACTCTCAACACATACACGAACGGTACAATTGTGTTTACATGATCAACTGCAAAGAATGCCCCGCTCAGTACATTGGACAAACATCCAGACAGGTCGAAACAAGAATCGCGGAACACAAAAGTAAAGAAAAATGCAGACCGACGGACCAAATGGCTTTAAGAAAGTTAGAACGCGACTCTGCATTCGCACTTCACGCCATATCCGAAAACCACACCATCGACCACGAAAACACCAGAATCCTCCAGTATGGGTTTCGTACGTGCACCGAGCGTCTCCACGCGGAGGCTCTGGCAATTAATGCCCACCAATCGTGTCACAATCGCAACGATGGGGCAGAGATTTCAAGCATATGGATGGCACTTACGACGCGGATGGACAAACACCACTACGGGTCATAACACCTTGTTGACCTCAAATGACCCCACTAACACGGACACAGTATGGACAGAGATTCAACCCCTCCCCCCACCCTTACATTAAAACAACATCACAAACACACAGACCAACACACGAAAACACTGTGACTAACACCCAGTTGCTCTAAGCTATCATTCCAGTTTCATTCGGTTGTAAAACCAGTCTTGAAAAAGGTTGCCCATGGTGTCCGGAACGTCGACAACCTACCAACGATTTCGACTACGCTGTTATTGAACAATAAAATTCTACCATAACATTCCTGGAGAATTTTCCACCACAATATGAGATCAAAGTGCATTCTGCCACGACAGAGTTTAGCAGTGTTGTCCTGATCAAGATGCCTCGGATCGTCACTGCGATGCTTTGAATCCAATATGTGACGCAATTTTGAGGCAAAACACATCGTCCGGTTGATGGCATCAATATCAACAAGCTTGATGAATTGTTGGACAAAACTTCACCTTTAGAACAAGGCATTCGCGCATCGAGGCCATCTCAACCAAACTCACTTTTGAGCGGTACCACTCCGGGGTACGACTGAAGTCGAGTTAATAAGTGCTAACCTCCCCAATTCATTAGATGTCTTTGCCGGTGACAAACCAGAGTCAAAAGAAATCTTTCCAGTTCAAAGTTCTGTTCACCAAGCAAATCAAATCGACAAAAACGTATGAGGGCAAAATGTCTTGGGGATTGGATACTTTCTGTTCGCTGTGCAATACCGTGTACTTTCGCGTGCATGAACGGGCTCACAGCCAGTCAATCAATCAACCAGTAAATAAATAAATAAATCAACAGCCGGGCATTTGAATAGTCCACATACAATAGGATTGCTTTGAGATTTACCAGTACATTGCCTACCACTGGTGCCGCTAATTTTTTCACTCAAGCTATTTCGGTAGTCAGGGGTCTTTTGGGTCTGACTAAAAATACAAATGATTTGAAAGACCCAGTGAGCTATTGGTTTCGGACAAAAAGAGGCTGTGAAAATTTCGGGATTAAATAGGCTATAGGATACCACAAATTACTTTTGTCTTCATCGTGTTATACGGTATAATAAGCCTGGTTTATAGTGTCCATTTACTATTGCACTTGGCTGTTCGATGTCATGTGTTATTTACCAGAAGCTGGTTAGCACAAGAAGACAAGCCCCTTTCCCTGCGCGGCTACACCTCGTCTACTCGTCTTTCTTGGATTAGGTTTTCCTCCACAGGCATCGGATACTCTATATCTCTGCCATTCTCAGTCCTGTGTGGCATCAGATCGACATTTCCCTGAGTGCACTTTTAATCTTTTTTGTCGGTTAAGGTTTATCAATTGAATCAAGTTAGTTAGTTTAGTGAAAATCAGTTACATCAGTCTGATTGCTGAAGTACGTCAACCGAATCGAGAAAGTTTTAGTCGGATAGTCAATCCCAGTGGATGAAACTCCAGATCCAACAATGATGATATATATATATATATATATATATATATATATATATATATATATATATATATATATATATATATTCGTAGCCTTTTCTGGATGGAAAAGTAACCCCGCTCTACCTACTACCGAAACCAGGTGCACGTTACTGGGGTTCCGAGATTGCTCGCTAAATCGGCTTGCTAATTGAAACGCGACGTCATTTACAATTCCTTGAGCGTATCTTCAAATGAACTGTTCCAATCAGCATTACGCTCAGGTGACGGAACCGTTTGGGCAGTTGTGTTAGTTCTAAGGAAACGGGGCTTCGATTGCTTATTTTGAAAACTGCAACTGAGACTGAAATTGATCATTTACTTTTAAATCACGAGCATTTCAGTACGTCAGCGAGAATCAGCGAAACATCAACTGTCTCTGGATTGAAAGAATGACCATGTGCACACTGTGCCGTCACTATTCTCTGGTATTTTACGTAATTGCTACTGGAACCGCCTGATCACTTTTAGCGCAGTTTTGGTAGATCCTTTTGGAGAAATCATAGTCCGAACAAAATTGAGCATCAGGAATCTAAAATATCTTTTATCAAGCAAACATATATATATATATATATATATATATATATATATATATATATATATATATATATATATATATATATATATATATATATATCGAAAGACAAACATTCATTCATCGGTTGATCTGAAATGGACAAGAGGTAAAATTGGTGTTAGTACTTAGTACACAAATACAACACCGTTAGCCATTGACTCGCCAACTGAACACATACAAGAGAAAAGACAACGGCCGCACGACAACCTGAAATTAGCAAGGTGTAACCAACTTTTGGGCTCAAAATGTCACAGGGACAGGCAATTAAAGACAAGGAAAGAGAGAATGATTCTTTAATTTCATCATGGTTCGGCCTATCATCATGGACATCAGTGATGGCAAGGTATATATCTGGAATAGGTAGGTGGATAACGCGATTCATCATTTACGGCCGAAGATCGACTAATACCACTACAGTACATCCACGTATTCATACATACACACATACATACATACATATCAACATCCATACACACATCAGGTATCACTGCATTCTGTTGCTGTCTGTCCCAGGTTCGCAACCCTCGGTGGCATGCAAAATTTTATCCCGTCGGCGATCTTGGCTTCCGATTAGTTTGTCTGAATTTATCACAGTATAATTCATCCACTTCTGCTCGCTCGTTGATTATCCAAAAGTTGGCAAATGTTGTGATTACTTTTCCGATTCCATTTTTCTCTTCAGCCCCATCCTATCCGGACGCATACGGTCCTCCTCCGCTCCCAGTCCCAAGTAAGTCACACCGAATGGGGTTCTTCCAGTTATGCAGATTTCAGTATATAACAATAATTTGGTAAAAAGACATCCGTGGACAAATATGTTGAATTGGCTGACTGCCGAAGAAGAAACGGTCGCGTACGAAGTGGGCTAGGTGAATGTTCACCTCGCTTATGTGACGATGAAATCGGCGCAGGTTTTACTGTCACGAGTTTTACGTTTCACTCTGGGTCACCGAAAACCACGGGGCGGGAAAATTTTGTCAGCTGAAGCAATCGACTCATCTGTGAGGCTTATCAATAACTTGCACAATACAAAAGATCTTGATTTTTACATGTCATTTCACATCATTTCCACAGATTTTCATTAGAAGTCGGTTGGTTGGAAACACTGTGGGATATTGCGAAAATAAGTGAACAGTGGTAGTCCTGTCGTCATTTCAATCAATTGAGATTGGTTAGAAATGTATGAACGGAAACATGATTAGACCGTATCGTTCGTGTGGTGACGCGTGTGGTGGTTTTGTTTGCAACATCCTGGTTTATATCTCAACGACTCTTCCATCTTTCGCCGTTCCGATTTCCAGTACGGTATTGTTCGCTGAGGAACGCCACTGTTTGCCGCTTTACGATGAACCTGAAGAGGATGATGAAGACGATTTTGACGTCGAGGATGATGATGACTTTGATTTGGATGAAGATGATGACGACGATCTGTAGTCATTTCATTTTGCAATCAGAGTTTGCCTGACCATTGAACATTTCTCAAGGGTTCACCGAAAGCTTTGCTGAGATTTTCGATGAACTTCATCAAACGCTTCCTGTGTGAGACCTTTGGGTCCTAATTAGGTCGATTTAGCGCTAGTGTCTTTTCTTCGGCAAAATAAAGTGGAAGAATACGGAAAACGTACAACAGTCTAGCAAAGTGTAACCACTGCAGATAAAGATTGATAATACAAGTACACTATCGATTAATATAAGTGATCAGCACATGTAGCGTCTGCACTTATCTGATGATTGGTTCTCATGATTGGTCCTCATCTGCGGGTAGATAATCCGTCCTGAACAGACCTATTCGATGACCTGTTAGTTTTCTCATCTGTTTATTACAATGCCACTTTTCAGAAACAGAGTCTCAGCAAACAATACATACCATGAAAATGTGTAATACATGCATACGTACACCCGTATGTGTTCGAATAGTAAAATGTTCAGACTGTCATCGAATAGTTCACCGTGCAGACAATCAAAGTTCAGCTCCGTATTGGAAATCCACGGAAGCACTGCGCTGCACTGCACAGAGCTGTTCTGTTCGACCTCGTAGGAATCATCATAAACAATGCCTGATAACCCTCCCGTTTGGGGTCTGTACCTCTTGAACCGCATGTTACCTGTTTGACTATCCGGGCTTGCTCCAAACCAACACTAAGTTCTATACTGTCCATCCCCAGCTAAATTTTGACATTCACAACTCGGCTCGTAGGTACATGCACTTTAAGCAGTTGGGCAGTGATTCTGTAGGCCTTTAATGGTAAGTGGTGCGTTTGAACTACCGGATGAGTGATAATGTATGTAAAAATATTCAAATCGACCCGTACCGGGCCGAGCAATGAATAAATATGGCACCCTAGACTCACTTCACCCTTCTCCAACCGTCCATGACCGGTAAAAGAAAGAATATACAAAGATTACCAATGTTATCTTTAGATCACGAAAGGTAGTGTGACAAGCACGATTGCTTATCACTTACGTTTATGAGCTGTGTTGGTTGGTTCAGTTTGAAGAAGTACCATAACTGTTGGAACTTGATATAACGTGAAATGTAAGAAATCTTGCGCGTGTTGGTGGGCGGGAAATGGGAGATAAAGAAACTGCTCGATAACTGGTGCGATGTCGTATATGTCTCCACTAACCAGAGAGCTATGCAGGTTGGTTTCTTCAGGACTAGGTACCATCGTGCCTAATAGATGGCTAGACGAACCTCGATCTCTCCGAACCAGTTGGTGAGTTACATCTGGAGAGGACATTTCAGAGAATAAAAAAGGAAAGAATTAGTTCATCGGTCAAAACCCTCCACTGGATTGTTCTAAGGGTCGAGTACCTGATACTTCTGCCTAGCAGAATCAGTCCGAAAACCCAAATGATACTGCCCCCTTCAAGTTGCGCTTTACTGAATGAGTGAATAAGGCTTAGGACTGAATCTGTAAGACAGATCAATAATTGAAGCATCAGTGAAAGCGTAAGGTTAGAGAAACAACAACAAGATCTCACGTGACAGACCAGCGGCGGTTCATTCGAGGTAGATGTGGTCATATTCCCTTGATGGGTAACATCCTACTGCCTTAAGGTCAGACCTTTGTGTCAAAGGCTCCGGGCCAGGTTCTCACAGAAGAAAGTCTTCTGCGGTGTAGGCAGCCAAAATACTTCCAGTGAACCTCAAAAAATAGTCTTTTTCTTCTGCTCCTCATCTTTTGCATCTTACTTCTAGATAGACGCAGACAGCCAAAGGAACAATTAAGAATAACCACTTAAAGATGAATTAAAATGGAGTATCAACTCTTGGACCAAAGCAATTTTCTTTGATTAACCTCTTTAGACATTCGAAAATTTCTCCAAACAAAACAACAGTCTGAACTGACTATGATCGCTGAAACCTTTAAAACAGATGCATAGCTTTTCTAAGCAGCACATATATGAGATCTAAATTTAAGGATAACACTTCGCTTCCCAAACACAAGCTCGCCTTTATTTTCCAATTTTCGTGTATCGAGCGACTCGGTGTTTGGTGTTCGTGGTCAGGCTGGCACTGGAATCACTCTGGGAATGAAAACTGTGCACGCGGAGCTTAACTGGATCCCAGTCAACAGCTTTGTTCATTGTTCGGTCGTACCGATTTGTGTTCGTTGGAAGCGACGGACTAAAACCCCGATGCTTTTTCTTCATTCATCTCTGTGCACGTACCGACTGACCGTAGCTTTACTGAAACTAAATTCGAGTCCTACCGTTATTTGTCCCGAGTGCTCCGCTACGTTCACTCAGCAAAAATGATGGTTGTTGATGGCAACTTGAACGCTCAACGCGAACACCTGGAGGAGACAGAAATGCATACGGGTGATCCGTTTGCCGTTCAAGCCAATCAAGCCGATAATCGTTATCGACTCATTCAACTGTGCTTTGAACGCGGACTTTTATTAGTGCGTACGTATTTCTTGCATAAAAATGACACCAACTCATCTGGCGTTCTCCTGTGCCTTCACATAGTGAGACTCAGATCGGCCATGTTGTTATCAGCTACCTCCGGCGCGGATCGATTTAAGACTGCTCGTTTGAATTCGTGAGCTTGTATGAGCGCGTTTTTGCCCACGTCTCGCTGACGGACGAATCAGCACCAAAGTCAACCATGTTCGCAGCTGCTGCCAGACGACATACGTCAATCTGTTTTCCAAGCAGAACCATTCACCAAGTCTTCGGTGCAGTATGACGTGCACTATCCGGATGAAATGTGAACTCAGTTCGAATAAGCTGGAAATGCTCCCAAAGGTTCCAAAACCAGATACACACACGCACGCAGATAAAAAAAATGAATATATGCATCTTCATTTGCACTGCTAGACGTGGGCAGAGGGATTCTTTAGCATTCCAGTTATGATGATACACGAAGATGCTTTCGACGCTAAGTGATTCGGTGTCTCAGAAACAGCCGTAAGCAGTGGGGAAATGTGGATCTTTAGGAGATGGAGAAGGTCTTGACGGCGGTAAAAGCCACAACCTTTCTCGTTTTTAAGAAATCACTGGTTGGCAAGTTGGTCATGGAGGTAAATGACTCATTGATTCAGACTCAGGAGCATATTCCTGAATGAGGGGCTGTTTAACTCTAATCTTCATCTACAACAGAAATGCTGGAGAGCATAATGGATAAACTTCCTGGTTTAGATATCAAACTCCTATCAGGGGAAGAACTCTTCTGTGGAAAAAAAACCATCCTAATCGACGTCTGGCCCCTGTAAGGGATGGGTTTTCGCAGTCTGTTTTTCGGGAGAATGACTTAGCATTGACGTGCGGTTGTCAAAACTTCGCGGTTTTACATGGGTGAAGAAACAGTTTTAAGACCATTGATTTGGTCGTGCCGACCTGAAAGAATGGCAACAGATCAGCCTTTAAAATCCACAGGGGAATAAGTCTCCTAGTGATCGTAAAATATTTGCGCGAGAATCACGCAAATTTTAGAACTAGTCACGCTTGTGTTGATCACATCTTCCATAGGCCAGGGATCCCTGTTTTTCTTTACCTGGGAGCAGTCTGAGATTCTGTGAACCTCAATTCTCCAGTACTGCCTCTTGCGGAAGGGTGTACCACAGAAATCAATTTTTATGATGAAAATCTCTGTGCGTGAATAGTCGAAGCCTGGTTCGGGCCTGCGGTGATCTTTTACCCGGCTTCAGCATTAGAAGTGGTTTACGTCATAACTGCTCTTTCTGTCTCACTCTCTTCTCTTTTTATTAACTTGTTGCCAGACACCACTGTTTCAATCTGATGAAGGTAGTAGCATTGAACTTTCCTCAGGTTGAGAAAAGTCAGATATTGAAAATGCAGGTTACATAGTTCCTTAAAAGTGCAAATACAGTGACTTGTCAAGCTTTTCTGAATGGCATGAAAAAGTGTGTGCCAATGTTAGGTAAATGTTTTGCACCTCCGAAGTGCTAGTTTCTGTTACAGGACTGGGTCAGTTCAATGTAAAATCTCATAGAGTCTGGGGATTTAACCTCGCCGTCTGATATCGAATGAAGTGTTATGGTGCATACAGTAGGTGACTTCAGTTTCCGCCAACGCCATGATCTGTGACATCCACGGGACATCCGTTCATCTATCAAGGATAATCTGTACGCTCCGTTAGGCAGGTCAGCTCTTATTCACGGTTCAGAAACATGGCTACTGCTGGAGGAAGAGGCACGAAGATTATAAATATGCTAAAGTCGACGTTTTGTTGGTATTGTTTTGAATACCGCATCGGTGAGATGTGGAGTATATGGTAGACTTATTAAAGTGTTAGATGAAACACTAAAGCTTATTAGGCTTATGTGTTTGGAGCCTGTGTTACCGCATGTCCCGGAGAAGGCTCTTTCGGTGAGGTTGGACGGTGGTGTTAGGCGTTTTGTCTGGGTTGCAAGAAACTCACCCGATCGGTGGTCAGCTACATTGAGGAATATGACTAGATGTCGCAGACACTGGCACTATAAATGGTGCAGGGATTCTATATTTCTGTTATTGCGATGTGATACACGGTATGCTGCCAAAAATCAGGTTTATAGCTGTTAGGTGAGGGACGACGACAGCCTCAGAGCCAAGGACTGGGAGAGCCTTCTGTGCATAAGCAAAAGTTGAATACTTTTCTTCTAGAAGAGTTTTGAAAATACAGAAGTCCAACTATCCAGTTGGAATGGAGAAAATCGTGGTTTCTGATCTTTTGGTTTCGTTCATCGATTTGCAATTATCTCCTCAGAGGACCGTTCACCTTGAGAGCCGCATGCAAACCGAGAATCGGAGGGAGGTAATAACTAATGAGGTATTGGTTGGCGGATGAGACATTCGGGGGCAGTTTTATCAGTAAAAGGGTAAACTGAAGCGGTATTGATGAGCAGATGATAATTTAAGATCAGGTAGCTAATGGGATCTCCGAGGGGGGTGGGGGAGCATTGGAGGTACCATCGTGTGTGCTTGAGAGAGGGAGATAGAGAGACCCCAGTGGATTTAGATAGAGGAGATGCGTTCGCTAAAGACATTATGGGTAAGAAATTAGTCATGTTGGACAGAAAACTCTTGTGCTATGGTCGACCAAAACATATGAATATCCAATGACACCGATGTAATATGCCGTGACCAGTTTTGGATGTCAGAACATAGGTAAGCAAAAAACACGTTCTTGATACTTCAAAGAAAAGCCAACTAGGGTATACTTTCAGGAATTACGGAAAATCATTTGGCGAAAGCACCATTGAAGCATTTGATAAAGAAACTGAGATATACTAATGAAATTCAGTCGAAGTGTGGCCAGGTAATAGTTGGTTCACGTGTATATCCTCCAAATCAGGGTGAGCAAAGTGGCGAATGAGGGTAGTGTTTTGCCGACGGGTCCCTGTTTCTAAATGATTAGGACAATAGTTTGATAATTCTTTCGAGAAATTACCGTTGACTAAGCGCGAACGAGAGGTCACACCTGAACCGTTCGACTTGACGGCATTGTCAGTAACTGATGTCCCTCGTAAGTTCCCGATTGAACCGATTTAGGTGATTGGTGCCCATCAGATTGGTTAGACGTCTCACGGTTATTTTTATGTAGGTTGCCCTACGAAACAAGTGAACTGGTGCGTACAAAGTGAAGTCGGATCACTCAGAAGCCTGACCCCTCTCTGTGTGCAGAGAACTGATTTCGAGGTGAATGATATGCGAGGTTTGATTGCAAAGCAAATAATTTTGGTGACTGATAGTATTATTCCGCTGTCCATCCCTTTCATTGTCTCTCTTTTGAATAGACCGGTGAAATAAAGAGCCTTATACGCTTGGGGTAGAGACAATAACGAAAGATTCTTCATCACCGTTACCCAGAACGATGCTTCCCACCTTACAGCATTTCCTAACCATGTCCGTAGATCAACACTTGGTGAATCAACTCAATAAACAGTGAATTATATCCAGTTTCTGTCGTTTCGAGACAGGCATGCGAAAGAATAGCCGATGATGATGATAGTATGGACTTATTAGCACACGGCGTTCCAAATGTGAGAGACGCTACTTTAGAGTCTCAGTTTCCATAGGTTTGTGCAAAACGATGTGAAGGTAGTCAGTTGACAGTTGTTCAGCGAACAAGGATTAACAAAATCTGCAGTTGGAAAACATTTACGAACCTCCCAGGGGGCTAAAATAGTTTCCTAAAGAAAAGGTGAATACGAAGCGAAGGATGAGGTGGAGCCCTGCCCTAAATTCCCCAACAATATGAGTACAAAGCCTAACGGCATTCGCAACCGATTAAAAGGAATGGCTGACAGCGGCGAACATTAGTTATTTTGTAAGTTTTCGGCTAAAGATCTGGGTTTTTGGTTGTTGAAATCGGTCTTTTGTATTCTGTTTGCTTGTGGGGCAATTCTTTTGTTCTTGCTGGTTGTACATTGGCCTTCTGCTGATGCACAGAAAAAGCCCATGCTTGGATAACCTATTCTACAAAACTGGGTCCTCCCAGTACAAATATCTAGGAGTGTAGGATCCGTAACATGCATGGGGGTGATACATGAATAGAATGTGTGTTGTGCCCGATCAACAGTAAACCAAACCAGAACACGCGTCTATGAACGAACTTGTATTCAGACGCGGTCTGTGGCAAGCGCCAACACAAGAATGCCAACATAAACGCAGGTCTGTGGGTACGTAAATGGATCACAGTTACATGCCACTGCAAGCGCCAATAAAGCGTACAATCGAATCAGACCAGTCATGGCTGGTTGACGCTTGACAAGGTTTGATTTGTCAACGCAGCTCGGGGTAGAGCACTGTGAAACAATACAAAAAGATAGACAAGACGCCGTGAAATCACGCCCCAGTGTTTCTTTCGCACAGCAATAAAACCAGAAAATGTGACGGGATATGTAATGAATATGAGAGTGGAAAGGCTTAGTGACGATTGCATGCGCTGAGAGAAGGGCAGGGAGACATGTGGATGTAAAACGATGGGTTGAATGTCTGATTACGGTCGAAGGACGCAAGCACAGTCAGGAAAGCGATCGGGAGAAACGAATCAACGGCAAATGATTGTTTGTGAGGGGAAACTGTTCGGTTCTTAGCTGAAGGAAGTGGTTGTACCTGAGTGGGCGTTGATACTTTCTAACATGGTCATAATCACACCAACATCAATGATCAAGAAGGTATTCGTAGTTCGACACAATCAAAAAGAACAAGCAATTTGGCTACGGGAGTGATGGAGAGTGTCGGAGCAATGTTTGAAAAAATGAAACTTTCAGTCCCGGTAAGGATAATCTCTTCACGAAGACGGTAGTTTTCACTCAAATTCTGACAGTATGCAATTACACCGGGTACAGTGAAGAAGGAGTAATATTGAAAACGTAGCTGCAGTCGCACTTGAACAGTTTACATAATACGCACTCTCTAAGTTAGTGTACAGGGGAAGAATATCGGATGATTAAGCCCTAACGTTTGCCTAAAAGAAGTACATTCAACTTGAAGCATGAGGCATCAAACCACCCTTATTCCGGACCAGCCGCAGGTGAATCTGTCACTTTCCCAGACGACACCGTCGGGAGTCCCTTTCCCAATCCACGTACTAATTCAGACTAGCGTAGCGAAGATCAGTTTCAAGAAGTACGCTGAGGTATCTTTCCACGAAAAATACATTGCATCATTCTCGAAGTATTCATGAAACCATGAATATTGTTCTCATCTTTCGTGATCGCTAAATTAGTACTTGAAATGCTCTATTATCACGAATCATCTGTAATCGCTATTCGTCATAAGCAGCTCATCATGTCGAAATGCCATGTTCCACTTTGAAAATCATCAGCGATCTAAATTTACCCAAGTGATATTCTTACATCTTTTTTAAATTGTAGATTCCCCTCCACCACCTTTTCAGGGTGAGTTTCTTGTTGTGCTTTGCCAGTCATAAGAAATTTCAAACAAACAAAATTATCTGTTTACACAAAAATTTTGGTATTTTTTGTGTGGGTTCGTGCCTATGCTTTGTTTAGAAAAAATCGACCTTCCATGGGGCTGGTCAATGAGTGTGCGGTGAGTATTTGAAAAGTTGTCAGGAGCAGAATCACTAACCTAAGCCTCAATTCATTTCCTTACCAGCATCGAGTTTACTCGAGCATGTTTCAAATGAATAATATGAAGCTTCACTAGATCTTTGTCATAAATAAATCTTGCTCAAAGTGTTTAAACACGTTTAATAACGGACCACCTTGAACCATCTAAGTAAATTGCCACACATTTTGCCTTGACACACGAGTGCGTCCTATGGCTACTGCTTGACAACGTGTGGCAGTTCATACAAGGTTTCAGCTAGTACTCTGCATACAAGATTACAGGGCGAATATCAGAGTGTGGAGACATTGATCATGAGCATAAAGAATATCTGATGCATCTAAACAAGAAAACATGTGTGGTAATCCTGCGGTTTGTGATCAGTTGCATGACTGACTTCGTTAATTGTCAGGAGAAAATTCCTTCCTTTGCCCAGCGTAAAAATTCCATCCCTAAAGTTCGAATGCGGCTGTGCTTGACTGATGTGGGATCGAAGGACAACAGCAGACGTTAGTTCACAATCCCGGCGGAACTGTCATCGTGGAATATCTGTTTGCTGGAACGCATGCATTCTACTACCATCACCATTGGTCTACTCTGACGGAAAACTACCTTCGTGCCTTTGTTCTTATGCACAGATCCAAAAATCACTGCCTCAAAAGGATGAAAAACAGAAGGAATTTCAAATGATGCATAATCTAGTGTATTGCTGCTTACTGGGTTATCTAAACCTTTTCCCATCAGGCTTTAGCCAAAACCCGCAATTCCCCAGCCACGACCCACAATCCTTCGTTGCAACCCACGATTTTCTATCCACAACCCATCATTATTTAGCCGTAATGCACAACCTTTACTCGTAGTCCATTGCCAGGAATATTACAGATATTCCGTACTGCAGGTGACGAGTTAACGATGCCCAAAAGGCGTGGCAAACGCCCATACATTATTGCGGAGGGTGCGTGTGTGATTGTGGCTGCATGTATGTGCGTACGCAGGTGGACGTCCACGGAAACACACGGACAGTGGTGGGATAGTCGAAGAAAGCTATCCGACTATCCCTGTCGCACGAAATATCTCTAACCTTCCAGGCAATGGACAATGGTTGAAGGTTGTGCCTCAAGGCTAAAGAATGATGGGTCGTGGTTAAAGAATTGTGGGTCGTAGCTAAAGCTTGATGGGAATAGGTGTAGTTCAGGGGAAGAGGATAACCCTCGAGGACTTATCGGGCTTTTTTAATTAAACGGTGCACCTTTAGTTTTAGCATAACTGATTGAAACCTTCAAAGCCGTGGGAGTACATGGAGTTCCGTGGCGCTTCGGTTTGTCAGACTGGAGTTCATGTACTCCGGGGTACAGCGACAGAATCGCCTGTAAAGACGTTAGACATTACTGTAATCGCCTTCGCCAGTTATCCTGAAGCCGGTTTTATGTGCTCAAGGAACACAGTCTTTCCGAGATAAGAGATCTCGGTTATTTCATCTGGTAAGTGATTTACTGTTGCATCGAGAAGCAGCTTGTGAAAGCCGCCAGTGGAATCCGAGCGCAAAGCAGGAAAAATGTCTGAAGGAATATCTCTTGAGGGTTTGATAGACTCGTAGTCTGAGGTGCGCTGGTTACCTTTCATTCCCTATGCCTCATTTGCTGGAGTGAAAGGAGAATCAAGATAGAAACTGATAAACCGTTGACGTTGAGGAGTCCACTCCCTCTCAGCGGTCTTCTGGAGTAAATGGATCAGCATACGCTTAATTCTGTTGAACACAGAGCAGCTATGGCTATGTGAGCCGATCTTGAGCTTGCGGTTGACAGGGCGCTGCGAAAAGTAGTTAGAAACGGGCAGTTTTCATCACTTTACCGGTCAATGCTGCCAATAAGTGGACGACAAGTTAGGAAACCTAGTGCAAGAGGTGGTTGTGGAAGTAATTTGCGGAATTGATTACGAGAGGTTTCCGGGTTTTTGGAATGACCAGATACACGCTGAGGGAGACTAGAGACATCACGGAATAGTAGCATTCATCGCGATCTTGAGCGTACCTGATCCTCACACACTGAATTAATTTACCACATCTGTTTTTTCTCACGCTAAGAAGACAGATGAAGCGAAGTGTTAGTTCAAATCATTCATTCTCAAGCATCTACAATAAGTTAGTTCTAACGAGTGATTAGGGCAATCGGTTTTGAAAAAAGGGAATGGGGACAATTGACCAGCGCAGGATGAATATCAACTTGGATGTCAACGTAATCCTATTTTTTGTTTAGCTGTTATACTGTTCATATGGTCTTCGATTATGCCACACAATATGACCGTGGCAGCTATGGTGGAGACATTTTTGGTTTCATGGATCAGAGTGGTGAATCTACATGGCCACTGCCTCAGCTGTGCGCAACATGATGCCTCTGATTCGGTTCGAAGTACTGGTCTAAACCCGATAGATGGCTTTGAGTGGTAACTTTGTGTTTTGATATTCACCGAGTTTTCCGACGACGTGTTTCACGACGAAGCTTTGAAAAGCTTTAGTCACTCCTTTCTTCCACCGCTAAGGATGGTATTCTTGTGTCCTCTTGATCAGTTGCCGATCCAGCCGGCTCCAAAATTACGGTGAATTGGTAAATGCACATAGAACTGGTTGACGTTGACAATCTATGATCGATTTACTGTTGTAAAATTAGAGGGACTAACCGGAAAATCGTTGCTTTAAAGGCATTCTGGTTAGCTTGAACTGCGTCGGATATCCACAACCTCAATCTTGGCAACAACCGCCATTCGTAGTCTTCATATTTCAGTGGATTTTATTTAAGTTATTGGTCTATGAACGTGTCAGGATATTGGTTCTCTTAAATTGTGTTGCGCATCGGATCCACCACAGTCTACGTTGTTTCATTTGAACGAATCTTTCTGGCCCGTTGGCTTGAGCAGCATTTTAGATTTCCTATCCAGTAAATAGGCACGACACAGTGGAAGTTTATATATAACTCAACCCAAGGGGACTCTCTGTGTGCATTTCCTGGACTTGTCCCGTCTTCTTTTACCGTGAGTAGTGCACTGTTAAGTGGAATGCGCCCATTTTATTCCATCCAAAAAGTGGAGTTCTTGCGTTTGTGATTATGGTTGAATATCGTCACTAACTGTTCTAAATTTATCAATTCTGAACACAATACAAAAATATTATCCACTTAACGGATGTAGATTTCTGGTTTAGATGTTTACTCATGAAATTCCCGGTTTTTCAACATTGCCGTGAGAATATCTCTAAGTAATTAGCCGAGGGGCCACCCCGTAGCCACTCCATCAATTTCTCTGTGCACAGGCTATTTGTTTGGTCGACACTTTCAAGGACGTAAACGTTAAATGATTAGTTTATCCGGACATGTCATCCTATCAGTGATTTTGGTTGGACAGTTATTTAAGCCAACCTGATCAATGACCGCATCAGTTCACAAATGCCCATCTAGGCGATTACATTTGTGATTTGGGGGTCGGAGAAGTAGTGACTCTTTCATCCTGGTATCATTTGTTTGTGGACTTGAAGTAGAGCTCATGCAGAAGGCAAGTACAAAGCGGAAAAAAGAAAATCATATTTGAATCAATATACGCTCAAGCTATTTACGAGGTATATCCATCCACTTTCTTATGCTTAGCAAATGTATCCGAGTTTTGTTCCACGGTTAGTCGTTTGTGCCATATTTTGTAGTTCCTTTAGACAGCGTGGTTTATTTTTTGAAAAACATTTTTGCTGAGGTTTCTTTATTCCTGAACATTCTGAATTGCAAACATGATTGAGTTGAATATTGTCACCGAAAGCGTGTTTGCGTGAGAGAATATATAACATGGTGATTTGAATAGCTCAGTGAAGAGTGGCACAACAAGATTAGACGCTTCCTTGGTGACCAGGCCGACACCCTGATCTGCTTCACATTGCCATTTTCTTGTCTTTCTCGTTCCTCGTCTGTCTTTGTCAGTTCCAGAATCCGTGCAAGTCTCGTTGGAAGGTAATGTGGTAGGGACTGCGTGTTTCTGGCTCTCGTCGTCCTTGTGGTGTTTTAGTAAATCAGAGACAACTGATTTCCTGTTATTGTTTTTTGACCTCGAGAACAGCGTCAAAAGAAAAGGAGGGCTGCTTGCGAGTAACTTTATTTTCCGACTGTTAAGCTTACCTATGTAGGCTTCGAATGATGGGAAGAATGCCAATACCACCTAAGTTCGGTGACTGATCGGGAAGATGAATTGGTTGGTCGTGGTTTAGGGGAAATAAAAAAACAGTTCTTGTGCAGTACGGTCGTATCTCAACCCGAACCGATCATTTTCAGTTACGTCATCCAGCCACGTAAGGAGTGATATCTATTTTTATAAACATGGCAGTAACCAGAATGTCACACTGGGCATTTTCAACGAATTTTGAGTTGATAGTTTCATTGCCGAAATGTCCCTATAAAAAGGGAACGGTTTCCCTCGGCCAACGGCTATGATACGATTTGAATCGGTTAACACGGAGAAGACAGATACAGCGTCGGCCTAAAAGTATTTCTTCTCGAGTCTGAAATGATCAGTACGTGAAACAAGAGTTTATGCTGCTCTGAAAAATGTCAGGTTCGGCTTTTGGCGGTTTCTCGATTCTTTGTCTATGCTACGTTTTTACTTGAGTCATCCGTTGAAATCCACGAGTACCATCATCGTGATAAACGTTCACTTTAGTACTACTGAAGAGACGGTTGACAATCTTCACTGGGATGACAAGCGCAGAATTTGTTTAATCCTGACTCAATGAACGCAATATCACATCCTACGTTTTCTTTACGAATGCTTCCAGAGGGTTACCGAAGGAACACTGTCA